GGGGCAAGGGCAGGGGTGCATTTTGCTTTAGTAGAAATAATATATGCTTTTTTGGTTTACATACCATTTCTGTTCCTTAATAGCTACTTGGGATCTTTAACAATATACTTGACATCTTTGAGCCAACTTCACTATCTGAAAGATGGAAAAGAAGAAAAAAGCTTCCTCTAAAGCTCTAACTCCTTACCTAGAAATTTGGCAATTAAAAGGCAGAAAAAAACATTTATCCTGTCTTCCCTGTATAAATTGTATTTTGGGATAGCCAGACAGCCTGAACTGATGAGGGAAAGATTTTTTTTAATAGGAAAAAATCTAACAAATGGAGAAGTAATGATAAAATTAGAAAATCACCATTTTGTAGCCTCTAAGAAAATAATTGCTTCAGGAAAAGACCATCAAAGGATGAAACCCTCATGGAAAGTCAGTTAGGAACAAAGGCAGTTGGTGTTTGCATTACCAGAGGTTAGATAACCAGACGTTGTGGCTTTCTGATATGATGGTATGAAGCTCACAGCCCACCTTCGAAGATTTTTTTGCCAAAAAAAACATTGAACTTCAAACCAAATCAAGCCTCTAGAGCTTTATTTGTAGAAAATGTGAGGGATAAAAATACAAATTAAATTATTCCACAAGAAAGCAAACAGACATAATCAGAATGTAGGAATTCTATAGGACAACTAACCCAGTTTCTGAAACCAGTGAATGGGAAGGAAAAAGGGGGTGGGGACAGGGCAAAAGGTTTAGATCAAAAGAGACAGAGATACAACAATCAATGCACCGTACGAACCACATGCAGATACAGACACAAATACACCCATCGCCGAAAGCATTTGCCTGGATTATACACTGGGTGTTAAATGATAACAAAGAATTAGCTTTTTTTTTTTTAATATGTCTTTATTGATTTCAGAGAGAGGAAAGGAGAGGGAGAGAGAGATAGAAACATCAGATGAGAGAGTCATTGATCAGCTGCCTCCTGCATGCCCCCAACTGGAGATTGAGCCTGCAACCCGGGCATGTGCCCTGACCAGGAATCAAACCCTGATCGCCTGGATCCTAAGGTCAATGCTCAACCACTGAGCCACGCCCAGCTGGGTAAAAAGAATTATCTTTATGTTAAATGTAATAATGTCATTGTGGTTACATTAAAAAAAAGTCCATACTGCTCAGAGATAGATATTAAATATGTAGGGGTGAAATAACATAATCTGTGGAACTTGCTTTAAAATACTCTGCTTTTGTCAATTTATAATGATTTTATGCATATAAGTCACATAATTTGGGTTTTTCCCCCCACTCTATAACTGTAAATATCAATGTAGAGCACTACATATATTTGTAAAAATTACAAAACACTATAAAATCAAATAAATAAATAAATAAAAATACTTTGGTAAAAATCTAAGGAAAGAGGAACATAAAAAGAGAGAAAAGGAGAGAAAAGTAAAGGAAGCAAAGAAAGAAAAGAAACTACCCCAGAGAATAGGTGGAGAAATTAAGATTAGATAAACTAAGGAAAGTATCAGCATCACACCTGGTACATAGTACTCAGTGAATGCTAGCTTTCTTTCCTCTGTGCAAGCCTACTCAGTGTTTTGAATTCTGCTAAGTCTGAAATACCTTCCTGGGCTAGTATGTCCCTGCTTACTGGAAATCCATGTCTTCTACACAAATTCATGGTAGAAGAAATCAAACTTAATTTTTGTTCTCTAATGGAGTAAGAAAATAAAATATTTCATCACTCTCACACAATGAAAAGACAACCAAAACCAAACTGACATTTAGTAATAGAGACACTACACTACACTCTTCATATTCAAGGAAAGAACATTTAGGTTTCTAATGATTGCACCCCAAGGGCCTATGGCAGGTAGGTACCTGTGATTTTGCTGAAAGGTAAATGTAGATTGCCTGCATTTCAAAGAAATGTCTCAAACTTAGTCAGAAGAATACTTACTAGGAAGCCATTTTATTTGTGATACAAATTCCATATTCAAAAATGCTTGTTTTAATTTTATCACTTTTTTCATAATTAATCCATGCAACAGTCATTCCATGTAATTGCAAATGCTCACATCATGCAAACAAATAGGCCTCTTAAAGCAGATAAACATTCCAAACACTTCAAGCTCAAGCTTGTGGGAAACTAAGTCCCATCAGTCTTCAGGTCAGTGGCATTACTATTTAAAGCAACAGTTCTGTGCACATTACCTGTGAAGCCATTTTTCCCTTCTCCAGTGGAGTCAAGATTTTCCAGGGCAGGGACTTTAGCATTTACAATGATTACCAAGAAATTAGAACTACTGAACTAATCCCTGCTATATAATCGTGCTCTCCCCCCACTGCCATTTCTCCCTCTCTTGTGTTCGTGTAGTATTTTACAGCTTTTATTGGCTATAACATCAAATCTAATCTACTTATATTACACAGTTAATTGTGGACTTTTGTTCCTCCATCTAGCCTCAAGCTCCCCGAACAATTAAGGTTTGTTAAGTCGAATGAATTGAATTTGGGTCCTGAGCACTTTGCAGATGTTGGACACTGCAAACCAGGAATAGCAGTGTCCCTCCCAAAGCCCCAAATGAGAGTAAGGGGTCAGCTAACAAAATACGACCTGGGTTTAACACCGGTGGGAGTACAAGGTATCCGTGGTAAGAAACCAGGGATCAGTGTTCCACCACTGCCATCATGTCTTATGAGCTGTCCTCAGAACAGAAGTCCCATCCACAGCTGGCAAAGCCACCTGTCCCGGGGGCTGCCTGAGCCAGTCAGCACCGTCGGACAGGACAGACACTGGAATCACCCTGGGCTGGTGCAGTGTGACGTCATCATGCCATCTGGAAACAGGCAAAGCAAAACTCTGTCGTTTCCTAAATTGCTCTTTATTAAAAGAACAATATTTTTTTAGTTTTTCTTCCATTTTTGACAATTTTTCCCCACCACTATCATCAACAGTTCTGATCTTTCCATTTTTACTAGATATATAATGAAAAGGCTGA